CACTGAAAGAGTACACACTGACACAGTACCCTCTGACAGTACCATCTGACATAATACCCACTGACACAGTATCCACTGACACAGAACCCACTGACACTGTACTCGCTGACACAGTACCCACTGATACAGAGCCCTCTGACACAGTATTCACCGATACAGTAGCTACTGACACAGCACCAACCGACACAACACCCTCTGACACAATACCCACTGATACAATGTCTTCAGACTCAGTACCTACTGACACAGTCCCCACTGACACAGTAACAAATGACACAATACCCACTGACACAGTAATCACCGACACAGTAACTACTGACACAGTACCAACCGACACAGCACCCTCTGACACAGTATCCACTGACACAGTACCCACTGACACAGTACCCACCGACATAGTACCTACTGACAGAGTACCCACCGACACAGTACTCACTGACACTGTACCCACTGACACACTACCCAATGACTCAGTACGCACTGACACAGTACCCACTGACACAGTACCCACTGACACAGTTCCTACTGACACAGTAGACACCAACACAGTACCCTCTGACACAGTACCATTCGACACAGTACACATTGACACAGTACCCACTGACACAGTACCCACTGAATCAGTTTTCCCTGACACAGTACCCCCTGACATAGTACCTACTGACACAGTACCCACCGACTCAGTTCTCACTTACACTGTACCCACTGACACAGTACCCACTGACACAATACACACCAACACAGTACCCACAGACACAGTACCCATTGAATCAGTACCTGCTGACACAGTACCCACTGACACAATTCACACTGATACAGTACCCTCTGACAGTACCCTCTTACACAATACCCACTGACACAGTACCCACTGACACATTATCCACTGACACAGTACCCATTGACACATTACCCACTGAAAGAGTACACACTGACACAGTACCCTCTGACAGTACCATCTCACATAATACCCACTGACACAGTACCCACTGACACATTATCCACTGACACAGTACCCATTGACACATTACCCACTGAAAGAGTACACACTGACACAGTACCCTCTGACAGTACCATCTGATATAGTACCCACTGACACAGTATCCACTGACACAGAACCCACTGACACTGTACCCTCTGACACAGTACCCACTGACACAGTGCCCTCTGACACAATAATCACCGATACAGTAGCTACTGACACAGTACCAACCGACACAACACCCTCTGACACAATACCCACTGATACAATATCTTCAGACACAGTACCTACTGACACAGTACCCACTGACACAGTAACAAATGACACAATACCCACTGACACAGTAATCACCGACACAGTAACTACTGAGACAGTACCAACCTACACAACACCCTCTGACACAGTACCCACTGACACAGTACGCACTGACACAGTACCCACCGACACAGTACCCACCGACACAGTACTCACTGACACTGTACCCTCTGACACTCTACCCACTGACTCAGTACCCACTGTCACAGTACCCACTGACACAGTACCCACTGACACAGTTCCTACTGACAAAGTACCCACCAACACAGTACACTCTGACACAGTACCAATCGACACAGTACACACTGACACAGTACCCACTGACACAGTACCCACTGAATCAGTTTTCCCTGACACAGTACCCCCTGACATAGTGCCTACTGACACAGTACCCACCGACTCAGTTCTCACTTACACTGTACCCACTAACACAGTACCCACTGACACAGTACCCACCAACACAGTACCCACTGACACAGTACCCAGCGACACAGTACACACTGACAGAGTGCCCACTGACAAAGCACCAACTGACACAGATCCCTCTGACAAAGTACCCACTGACACAATACTCACTGGCACTGTACCCACTGACACAGTACCCTTACACAGTACCTACCGACACAGTATCCACTGACATAGATTTCACTGACACAGTACCTACCGACACAGTATCCACTGACACAGTACCCACTTATACAGTACCCACCGACACAGTACCCACTGACAGAGTACCCTCTGACACAGTTCCCACTGACAGAGTACCCTCTGACACAGTTCCCACTGACACAGTTCCCACTGACACAGTACCCACTGACACAGTACCCCTCTGAGACAGTACCCACTGACACAATACCCACTTGCACAGTACCTACTGACACAGTACCTGCTGACATAATAACCTCTGACAGTACCTACTGACACAATACCCCACTGACACAGAAATCACCGACACAGTAGCTACTGACACAGTATCAACCGACACAGCACCTTCTGACACAGTGCCCACGGACACAGTACCCACTGACACAGTACCCAATGACACAGTACCTACTGACACAGTACCCACTGACACAGTACCCACTGACACAGTACCCACTGACACAGTACCTACTGACACTGTACCCACTGACACAGTATCTACTGACACAGTTCCCACTGACACAGTACCCTCTAACACAGTACCCACTGACACAGTACCCACTGACACAGTACCTACTGACACAGTACCTACTGACACAGTACCCACTGACAGTACCCACTGACACAGTACCCACTGACAGAGTATCCTCTGACACTGTACCCACTGGCACAGTACCTACTGACACAGTATCTACTGACACAGTACCCACTGACAGTACCCACGATTAGTACAGTCAGTTCACCCGGAGATTCATGGCGTCTGTGCAACAGTGAGAGGTTTTGAGTAGAGACATTCAGTGAGAGAATGTTATATATAATGATAATATTGCTTTGTTTTCATATTTTATTGTATTGGATGTTATATTTGATGTTATTATCATATTTAAAGTTTATAACCCTTAACAAAAACTCCAAAAGTTTAGCAGTACGATTACAAATTCAGAAAGAAGTGGTTGCAAGACCTCAAGTGTTGGATAATGGGTGTTCCAGTCGGGGATACAAGAGCACACTATAAGTACTCTAAAACGGAGTTATAAGGGAAATATCAAGACTTGAAAAATCACGCCCAGTGTAAGAAACATATCAATGAACTATACACCTCTTATCTCAATGTTTACACCTATTGAACATAATTCATCAAAACTGGAAGGAGCAATTGTCATTTACTTTTGTCACTCGGCACTTAGGAACTGCGACTAGCTAGTTGATCTGTGAAGAACAATATTGATGACAGTAAAATTGTGTTAGATGTGGTGGATGTTATATACATACACACACAAAAAATTAGTTGATTGATTGACAGTTGAGAGGCGGGCCAAAAGAGCCAGAGCAGTAATATCATAAAGAATGTTTTGAGAAGGAGGTGATTAATGATATATATGTAATAATCATTACAGTTTGTTGTTAGAGGAATCCAATAACATTTCAGTTCAGAAGTTATCAGGAGTGTTTGTGTTTTACTATATTAAAAATCATTATAAAGTTGTGTCAACATATCTTGGTCAGGTTTTGCTTAAAATATGGGATGCTGAGAGGGCTGGAGAGTGAATTACATTATTATTATCGGATAGATAGTTGGAATTTCCTTGATGGAATATAAATAGATAATGCAAGTGTTTTGATTGAAATTAATAATGGAGTTTACGCAATATTAAAAGATGAAATTCCATCACACATTTTATAAGAAGTGTCTGGCACGCCATCAAGTGGCCGTTTCTCACACATCTTAATGTCTGCCTAGAAGCTTGGAGGTTCTCACACATCTTAATGTCTGCCTAGAAGCTTGGAGGTTCTCACACATCTTAATGTCTGCCTGAAAGCTTGGAGTTTCTCATACATCTTAATGTCTGCCTAGAAGCTTGGAGTTTCTCACATATCTTAATGTCTGCCTAGAAGCTTGGAGTTTCTCATACATCTTAATGTCCGAGTTTGTCATCGGTGACACTCCTAAATAATTCACTCACGCCTCTGTTAGACAAGTTGAATATAAAAAGATAAATGAATCTCTCAATGACGGCACAAGTCCACAACAAATATTTGTTAACTGTAAAACAAAATGATTGCCTGTTCAACCAGCTGTGGGTTGAACACTGACCAATGGTCAGAATTGAAGGCTCATTTTAAGAAAACAAGAGAAAGTGAGAGGTGCTACACAGCTAAGATTCTTTTTGACATGTATTTCCATATAAAAATTTTGCATATCTGTTTTTTTTGCAACCCATACTCAGTGAAGTACAGAAAGTCAACACATTATTTCAGCCCCAAAAAATTGATAAAGTAAGGTTGCTTGATGATCTCTTTCTGCTTGTTAGATCAATTTGAAAATAAGTTGTGCTTCCTTCCTGCAAGGTTTACCTGCTCACTTGCAATATAAATGAATAATTGAGCCACCATTTTGAAACAAAAGTTAAAAAATTAAAAACCAATAAATTTATTAGAACAAATAAAGAATATATTTTGAGACACCGATGTTACGATTTTCTCTTTTATGTGTTTCAACAGCTCAGGCTGCTTCATATTATACATATTTGTCAAAACATCTCTCTCTTCTCATTTGCAGGCAAGTATTATATCTGTGAAGTAATGAAGTGCTTAGGTGCTTCACAAAAAGCAATAGTTAAGCGTAAATACCAACTAGGAAAAATTAATTTAGATGATTGGAATCATAAAAGTTTTTCCCTTAATAAGAACATAATAGAATAAGATGATGGATGGCCCGAGATGGGACCCCCTCCCAGTAAGGGAGGGATGCCCATATTGTATTGATGAGGACCTTGAGGAGGAGGATTTGTTGTTATGTTTAGTGCACCAATATCAACATAAATATCATTATTAGAGTTTATTATTTCATTAAAATTCAGTGTTATCAATCATATGTTTTTAAACTGTGCTGGAGGATTATTAATAAGTAGTATATTTTTAGATTACTGTTTAGATGTATATCTGTAACATTTTCATGTTTTTCGATGTTTTTAATATTTTCAATAGCTGTGTATTTAAAAATTGAGTTGGCAAAACGTTTGGAAGGTGGAGCAGGTAATGAAGGCAAGATAATGTCCCACAGGTAGTGTACGTGTCCCGGGACCCGCGGGACGTCTGTGTCTCCTTCTATTACCACTACGTCAAACTTCAGGGTTACAGTGGCACCTTCGACCAGTTTGTTCACTTATTTCTCCACGACACAAGTATGAGCTCTCACCAGTTGTTCTGTATGTAATGTGAAGTGCAGATAGGCCCTCAGTAGTCCAGTGTGTTGTATAGTGTGGGAGCCCTCAGTAGTCCAGTGTGTTGTATAGTGTGGGGGCCCTCAGTAGTCCAGTGTGTTGTATAGTGTGGGGGCCCTCAGTAGTCCTGTATGTTGTATAGTATGGGGGCCCTCAGAAGTCCAGTGTGTTGTATAGTGTGGGGGCAATCAGTAGTCCAGTGTGTTGTATAGTGTGGGGGCCCTCAGTAGTCCAATGTGATGTATAGTGTGGGGGCCCTCAGTAGTCCAGTGTGTTGTATAGTGTGGGGGCCCTCAGTAGTCCAATGTGATGTATAGTGTGGGGGCCCTCAGTAGTCCAGTGTGTTATATAGTGTGAAGGCCCTCAGTAGTCCAGTGTGTTGTATAGTGTGGGGGCCCTCAGTAGTCCAATGTGTTGTATAGTGTGGGGGCCCTCAGTAGTCCAGTGTGTTGTATAGTGTGGGGGCCCTCAGTAGTCCTGTATGTTGTATAGTATGGGGGCCCTCAGAAGTCCAGTGTATTGTATAGTGTGGGGTCCCTTAGTAGTCCAGTGTGTTGTATAGTGTGGGGGGCCCTCAGTAGTCCAGTGTGTTGTATAGTGTGGGGGCCCTCAGTAGTCCAATGTGATGTATAGTGTGGGGGCCCTCAGTAGTCAGGTGTGTGTTGTATAGTGTGGGGGGCTCAGAACTCCAGTGTGTTGTATAGTGTGGGGGCCCTCAGTAGTCCAATGTGTTGTACAGTGTAAGGGCCCTCAGTAGTCCAGTGTGTTGTATAGTATGGGGGCCCTCAGTAGTCCAGTGTGTTGTATAGTGTGGGGGCCCTCAGTAGTCCAGTGTGTTGTATAGTGTGGGGGCCCTCAGTAGTCCAGTGTGATGTATAGTGTGGGGACCCTCATTAGTCCAGTGTGCTGTATAGTGTGGGTGCCCACAGTAGTCTAGTGTGTTGTATAGTGTAGGGGGCCCTCAGTAGTCCTGTGAGGTGTATACTGTGCGGGCCCTCAGTTGTCCAGTGTGGGGGCCCTAAGTAGTCAAGTGTGTTGTATAGTGTGGGGGCCCTCAGTAGTCCAGTGTGATGTATAGTGTGGGGACCCTCAATAGTCCAGTGTGTTGTATAGTGTGGGGGCCAACAGTAGTCCAGTGTGTTGTATAGTGTGGGGGCCCTCAGTTGTAAAATGTGTTGTATAGTGGGGGGCCCTCAGTTGTCCAATGTGTTGTATAGTGTGGGGGCCCTCAGTAGTCCAGTGTGTTGTATAGTGTGGGGGCCCTCAGTAGTCCAATGAGTTGTAGAGTATGGGGGCCCCTCTGTAGTCCTGTGTGTTGTATAGTAAGGGGGCCCTCAGTAGTCCAGTGTGTTGTATAGTGTGGGGGCCCTCAGTAGTCCAGTATGTTGTATAGTGTGGGGGCCCCTCAGTAGTCCAGGGTGTTGTATAGTCTGGGGGCCCTCAGTAATCCAGTGTGTTGTATAGTGTGGGGGCCCTCAGTAGTCCAATGTGATGTATAGTGTGGGGGCCCTCAGTAGTCCAGTGTGTTGTATAGTGTGGGGGCCCTCAGTAGTCCAATGTGATGTATAGTGTGGGGGCCCTCAGTAGTCCAGTGTGTTATATAGTGTGAGGGCCCTCAGTAGTCCAGTGTGTTGTATAGTGTGGGGGCCCTCAGTAGTCCAGTGTGTTGTATAGTGTGGGGGCCCTCAGTAGTCCAGTGTGTTGTATAGTGTGGGGGCCCTCAGTAGTCCTGTATGTTGTATAGTATGGGGGCCCTCAGAAGTCCAGTGTATTGTATAGTGTGGGGTCCCTTAGTAGTCCAGTGTGTTGTATAGTGTGGGGGGCCCTCAGTAGTCCAGTGTGTTGTATAGTGTGGGGGCCCTCAGTAGTCCAATGTGATGTATAGTGTGGGGGCCCTCAGTAGTCAGGTGTGTGTTGTATAGTGTGGGGGGCTCAGAACTCCAGTGTGTTGTATAGTGTGGGGGCCCTCAGTAGTCCAATGTGTTGTACAGTGTAAGGGCCCTCAGTAGTCCAGTGTGTTTTATAGTATGGGGGCCCTCAGTAGTCCAGTGTGTTGTATAGTGTGGGGGCCCTCAGTAGTCCAGTATGTTGTATAGTGTGGGGGCCCTCAGTAGTCCAGTGTGATGTATAGTGTGGGGACCCTCATTAGTCCAGTGTGCTGTATAGTGTGGGTGCCCACAGTAGTCTAGTGTGTTGTATAGTGTAGGGGGCCCTCAGTAGTCCTGTGAGGTGTATACTGTGCGGGCCCTCAGTTGTCCAGTGTGGGGGCCCTAAGTAGTCAAGTGTGTTGTATAGTGTGGGGGCCCTCAGTAGTCCAGTGTGATGTATAGTGTGGGGACCCTCAATAGTCCAGTGTGTTGTATAGTGTGGGGGCCAACAGTAGACCAGTGTGTTGTATAGTGTGGGGGCCCTCAGTTGTAAAATGTGTTGTATAGTGGGGGGCCCTCAGTTGTCCAATGTGTTGTATAGTGTGGGGGCCCTCAGTAGTCCAGTGTGTTGTATAGTGTGGGGGCCCTCAGTAGTCCAATGAGTTGTATAGTATGGGGGCCCTCTGTAGTCCTGTGTGTTGTATAGTAAGGGGGCCCTCAGTAGTCCAGTGTGTTGTATAGTGTGGGGGCCCTCAGTAGTCCAGTATGTTGTATAGTGTGGGGGCCCCTCAGTAGTCCAGGGTGTTGTATAGTCTGGGGGCCCTCAGTAATCCAGTGTGTTGTATAGTGTGGGGGCCCTCAGTAGTCCAGTGTGTTCTATAGTGTTGGGAGCCCTCAATAGTCCAGTGTGTTGTATAGTGTGGGGGCCCTCAGTAGTCCAGTGAGTTATATAGTGTGGGGCCCTCAGTAGTCCAGTGTGTGGTAAAGTCTGTGGGGCCCTCAGTAGTCCAGTGTGTTCTATAGTGTTGGGAGCCCTCAATAGTCCAGTGTGTGGTAAAGTGTGGGGGCCCTCAGTAATCCAGTGTGTTGTATAGTGTGGGGGCCCTCAGTAGTCCAGTGTGTGGTAAAGTGTGTGGGGCCCTCAGTAGTCCAGTGTGTTCTATAGTGTTGGGAGCCCTCAATAGTCCAGTGTGTTGTATAGTGTGGGGGCCCTCAGTAATCCAGTGTGTTGTATAGTGTGGGGGCCCTCAGTAGTCCAGTGTGTTCTAAAGTGTTGGAAACCCTCATTAGTCCAGTGACGTATAGTGTGGGAGCCCTCAGTAGTCCAGTGTTGTATAGTGTGGGGGCCCTCCGTAGTATAGTGTGTTGTACAGTGTGGGGGCCCTCAGTAGTCCAGTGTTGTATTGTGTGGGGGCCCTCCGTAGTATAGTGTGTTGTACAGTGTGGGAGCCATCAGTAGTCCTGTGTGTTGTATAGTGTGGGGGCCCTCCGTAGTATAGTGTGTTGTATAGTTTGGGGGCCCTCAGTAGTCCTGTGTGTTGTATAGTGTGGGACCCTCAGTAGTCCAGTGTGTGGTAAAGTGTGGGGGGCCCCTCAATAGTCCAGTGTGTTGTATAGTGTTGGGAGCCTTCAATAGTCCAGTGTGTTGTATAGTGTGGGGGCCCTCAGTAGCCCAGTGTGTTGTATAGTGCGGGGGGCCCCCTCAATAGTCCTTTGTGTTGTATAGTGTTGGGAGCCCTCAATAGTCCAGTGTGTTGTATAGTGTGGGGGTCCTCAGTAGTCCAGTGTTGTATAGTGTGGGGGCCCTCAGTAGTATAGTGTGTTGTACAGTGTGGGGGCCCTCAGTAGTAAAGTGTGTTGAACAGTGTGGGGGCCCTCAGTAGTACAGTGTGTTGTACAGTGTGGGGGGGCCCTCAGTAGTAAAGTGTGTTATACAGTGTGGGGGCCCCTCTGTAGTCCAGTGTGTTGTATAGTGTGGGGGCCCTCAGTAGTACAGTGTGTTATACAGTGTGGGGGCCCTCTGTAGTCCAGTGTGTTGTACTGTGTCGGGGGGCCCTCAGTAGTATAGTGTGTTATACAGTGTGGGGGCCCCTCAGTAGTCCAGTGTGTTGTATAGTGTGGGGTGCTCAGCATTATAGTGTGTTGTACAGTGTGGGGTCCCTCAGTAGTCCAGTGTGTTGTATAGTGTGGGGGCCCACAGTAGTCCAGTGTGTTGTATAGTGTAGGGGCCCTCAGTAGTCCAGTGTGTTGTATAGTGTGGGGGCCCTCAGTAGTCCAGTGTGCTGTGTAGTGTAGGGCCCTCAGAAGTCCAGTGTGTTGTATAGTGTGGGGTCCCTCAGTAGTCCAGTGTGTTGTACAGTGTGGGGGCCCTCAGTAGTCCAGTGTGTTGTATAGTGTGGGTGCCCTCAGTAGTCCAGTGTGTTGTATATTGTGTTGGGCTTTCAGTAGTGCAGTGTGTTGTATTGTGTGGGGGCCCTCAGTAGTTTAGTGTCGTTGAATAGTGTGGGGGGCCCTCATTAGTCCAGTGTGTTGGATAGTGTGGGGGCCCTCAGTAGTCCAGTGTGTTGTATAGTGTGGGGCCCTCAGTATTCCTGTGTGTTGTATAGTGTGGGGGCCCTCAGTAGTCCAGTGTGTTGTATAGTGTGGGGGCCCTCAGTAGTCTAATGTGTTGTATAGTGTGGGGCCTCAGTAGTCTAATGTGTTGTATAGTGTGGGGCCCTCAGTAGTCCAGTGTGTTGTATAGCGTGGGGGCCACCCAGTAGTCCAGTGTGTTGTATAGTGTGGGGGCCCTCAGTAGTCCAGTGTGTTGTACAGTGTTCGGGCCCTCAGTAGTTCAATTTGTTGTATGGTATCGGGGCCCTCAGTAGTCCAGTGTGTTGTACAGTGTGAGGGGCCCTCCTTTGTCCAGTGTGTTGTATAGTGTAGGGGCCCTCAGTAGTCCAATGTGTTGTATAGTGTGGGGGCCCTCAGTATTCCAGTGTGTTGTATAGTGTAGGGTCCCTCAGTAGTCCAGTGTGTTGTATAGTATGAGGGCCCTCAGTTGTCCAGGGTGTTTTACAGTGTGGGGGCCCTCAATAGTCCAGTGTGTTGTAT